GATCCTGTCCTCTCGTCAGGCCTGTCCGAGGCCTGCTTCGAGGCAGCAAATCTTGTTTCTTCACTCAAGGTGACCCCTACACTAGTTAAAAGCTAAGAATAGCAAAATGCTAAATAAAGTAGCAAAATATTGGCAAAAGCTAAAAGCAGCAAGCAGCAAACAACAAGCTAGAAGTAGCTAAATATTAGCTAAAATCTAAAAGCTAAAMGTAGCAGAATRGCTAAAAACTAAAGGTAGGATAGAGCTAGTTGATGCAACAGATAGCTAAAAGGTATAATAACCAAATGCTAAATAAAAATAGTAAAAGGTGAGCTAAAACYTAAAAGTAGCYAAAGCTATCTAAAAGTTGAAGTTTGTTAAAAGCTAAATGTATCAAAGGGTTAAGTAAAATATCAAAAAACTGTTGAACAGTAAGAGTCAATAAGGCTGGCCTAAAGGTAAATACATCAAAGTCAGTTAAATGCTAAATGTAGCATAAGACAAATGCACTGAATCAAYTTTCACACAGTTGTCACAGTGAYGAGCTTTWTGTGAACAAGCTCTAGGTGTGATGAAACATCAGGGGTCAGAGGCCTGCTTCCTCCGACCACATTAAGTCATTGTGGCTCACACACAGATCTCACAAACACACCAGGATGGCAGACAGACGCAGAAGATTAGATTCAGCTGTTGAGTCATCACGTCCACATCAGACAGGACKAAAACAGCGGGCCTGTTTATAGGAGCAGCCATGCCTGGCACATTGGAACATGAGCGACCCAGATGATGACATAAACACAGCTTTCTGTYTCAGGAGAAACAGATTAGATACAACAATGGTTCTACCTTGTGTGGTTGAAATGTTGTTCACTTATGCTTTGAAGCATCAGGGCTGAAGAGGGTTTGGCAGAACCTCTTACCAGAAAGATGCTTATCTTATCAGTAAATTCTTTCTAGAGATAACATATCACATCAAACTAGAACATTTCTGTAAAAGTATTTAGGTTCCAGWGCAGCTATAATGTTCAACCCAAATTAACTTTATTCTGTAAAGCCCAACAGTTATTTGGGATTTACTTTTATAATATTTTAAGATGACAAAATACACATTGGGATGTTTAAACCATATAAAAACTAAAAAAATAAAAAAACAGAAAATAAAAGAAATGGTAACGCTGCTGTGGCTCAGAAAACCTAAAGGGACAGAAAAATTTAGACGGTTCAAAACTGGTGACATTGTCGCTTCAAKTTGAACATTTTTTTTGTAAATATTTCAAAAACAAAAACTTAAAACATATGATTATCTCAAGTCCAACTTTCTGTGACTCATTTAAACTTAGAAAAATATTTTTACAGTGAAAAATTCCTGAGAGCCAAGTGAAGAGGGTTTTTTTCATTTTGTTGCTGTGTATGGGGGAATTCTAATTATTCCTACAAATTGTCTACAAGCTGTAACCAAAAGTCACAACTGCATGTTTTATTGTCATTATTGTAAGGTATTTTGTAAAGCTGAGGCAGAAGTAGCAAGTCAAAAAGCAGAGTCTTCATTGTCAAGCACTGTCACCCTTGAATAAATCATTGGACCTTTCATTATTATTCCCTGAAGCTAGAGGTTTATTCCCTCTCATAACTGGCGTAACACCAACAAGCAGGAGATTTATTTCCTATTGCCATGTTGTCACCACTTATCTATTCAAAATCTTACAAAAATAGCCCAAAACCATCCTTGGGCCTTGTGTTCTCTAAGTTTAGTCCATGAGACAAAAGGGCGTTCATCAGCTGGCGTCTGATGTCACTCCAGACAAAGCCCCACGGGTGTAAAAAAAAGAAAAAGAAAAGAAAAGAAAAAGAACCCTGCACATATCTTTACAACCACGTTTGGTGTGTGAGCCTCAGGAGGAGCCGGCTTCACGGAGAACAGAGCGTTCCTTCTGTTCTGCTGTGACACTGGAGCCCTGACGCCTCCTCTGTCAGCCTGTCAACACGGGCCCTCTGTGAGACTCAGACACAAGGCTGGAGAGTGGGCAGGGTAACACGTCTCTGTCTGACTCACTCACACACATTTTGCTCCCAACAAACCTCTGTGATTTAAGCGTACACACCCAGACTGGAGAGCAGTTTTAATGCCTCCAAATGCAGGCCCTCGCACTGTAACCTGTCATTACAGAGGCAGCTATGTCCTTCAGAGTTGCCATAAGACTCTGAAAATAGATACTGCCAGCTCCACAGTCTGGACTGCTACTTTTAAAGACTTCTGCTGGGAGCAAAACAGACATAAAACATTTGTAACATTTTGAAAAGCTTAAAAAAGAAAAAAAAGGTCAGCATAGAATTGTAGCAATGCTGACAAATGGTATAATACAGTCAACTTGTCTGAGAGACATGCAGCTCTTACCATTTGTTTACTGTGACAGAGTCCAGACAACAGCTAAGATCCATGCTGGAAGAAAACCCAGAGTCCACATTATTCTCTCTGTCCTGCTACTTGCTTTAAAAATATACACATATTCATTCCCACACTGAGTTCCTCTGCTCTTTCCCTGCTCCCAGTTTGTTCCTCCCCATCCCTGGTGCAGAATTACATCCTACCAGCTTCTTAAGGTGTGTGTGTGGGAGGGGGGCCTGCATCGGCCCTGCCCCTCCAAAACATTCTCAGATTTCCTGTTTATTGATTCCCCCCTCTGTATTTGGCAGATAAACAACACGTTACAGCCACTCCTGCAAGTTTTCCACCGTCTCTAAAGTTGAAATCGCCCACAGCAGACAACCAGAGAGCGTGTCCTCAGTCTGATCAGTGAGAGAAACTTGTGGTGTCACTTCCTGCTCTAAGATCTTTGACGTAAGAAATAATTTAAAAAAAACTTTCACCGGAAAAAACTCTGATAAAATGAGTTAGTGAGTGGGACATAATGCAGCCTCCCTTCTTGATCCGTTTGCAACGAGTGCCACAGGAAATGAGCGAACACGTGTGAGTGTTTCTTCAGATGTCCCACAGGGAGCCACGTTTGGCCCACTGACAAACACAGAGAGACAGAGCGAGAGAAAGGCTTCCACTATTGATCTCTGAAGGCTTTTCCCATGGTCAGCGAGCCAGAGAGGAGATGGAAGAAATGAAAGCAGATGATGACTCACGGAGGAGTAAAATAACAAACAAACAGAGGCAGCTAAGGAACCAGATGGACTCATAAAGTCTGCAGGGAGGCCCTCCTCCTGGATGATGATGTGGAGGTTCCAGGAGGAACTTTTAAAATGTGCTTTTGGTTGTGGATTAGTCATTATGGCTGTTTTGCCTACACTAAATAAAGAAACAGATCTGATATAAAAAAGATACACAGTGAATGGAAAAACAAATCAGGCAAACACTGTGAAAATGTAGAAAAAAAGTAACTTAATGTTTGCAACAAATAGAATAACTTTAAATAATTGGCATTTTATGGTGTATGTGAATGTTTTACAGTGTCCTGACATGACGTTTGTCGTGAGTTGATGTTATATAAGTAAAATGAATTGGCTAAAATCAGAGTATCTTGTGAGCACTCTCATGTTATTATGATTAGTTGCTTCCTGAGAGAGAGAGAGAGAGAGAGAGAGAGAGAGAGAGAGAGAGAGAGAGACAGAGACAGAAACAGAGACAGAGACAGAGAGAAAAAGAGATTTTTTTTTATACCAAGATCATTTTATAATGAGAAATGACAGAGTTACAGCTGTTTTAGTCAAACTTAGAGAAAACCACAGGTGCAGTTTTGTGGTTTTACAAGAAGTCGTGTTCAGAACACAGTAAACATTGTGAATGACTCACAACTACTATCACAACACATTTTAGGTCAATATCTGCTATACTGACTTGGAAACCATCAAATATGTTGGATTTTTAAAACTGATATAACTGACTAAACAGATGCACTGATTCCTTTGTGACATCTGCCCACACAGTTTAATCTATCACAGCTACACACACACAAAACACACAATATATTTCTGCTCACTTAAAGTACATTAGTCGACGCCTAAAGCCCCAAAGGCAGCTGGATCTCACATAAGCTGTTCATTCTGTAACCTCTAGAAAGAGGTGACGTCCACCTGCTCCTCACATGGAGATCATTTTAAAGACAATTATACGAAGTTAAATCACTGATGATGAAGAATAATTCAACTGAGCCCCTTTATCGTTTTATAACTAGAAAACACACACTTTATAAATTAAATAAAATAGTTTATAATTACCCAAACTGGCAAAAAACATTTTCTTGTCCCCAGATGGCTTCAGTCCAAAGAATAAAACCACAAGTTGAGGCATCTTCCCACAACTTTGACAGAAAAAATGTTCCCAGGTTGTCTCCCCTTTTTCTCCTCCGCTGCCGAGTTTCTTTCAAAGTGAATATTTCCCTGCATCATCTTTCTGCCAGGTCCATCCCTCTTTCCAGCCTTTCTTTTTCTCCTCCTTCCTTGTCCCTTTTCCCACCTCAGTGAGCCCTGTTGTGTCTCAGATAGGATCTGTGGATTTCCTCAGGAGGTTGAGCTAAAAACCTTTTTTAAATACGTTGTTTTGCTTAGTTTGTCCCATAACAATTTTCACAAAAAAATTAGTTTACCTAACTATAACTCATCAGCTATAAACAAAAAGTGTCTCACGCTTTTTTGCTTTATGCAGGAGGTGATGTTAGTAAAGTAAAATGACTAAAATACATTGCTTTCAAGGAGTCAGACATTTTTTCTTCTTTTCCTTTTCCTTTTTTTCTGAGACAAACAGTTTAGAAATGTATAAATATCTCAGCCTCTGAGGACCATCTGGACTTGGCTGGAGTGTTTGGGCTGGATGTTGGACACGTCATCAAGGCCTGGGTAATTGGTTCAGCCTGTCCTGAGCTCAGTTCAGACTTGTTGCATCATTTTTATTTATTTTATTTTTTTAACTGGCAATAAAATAGGAATAAATCTTACCACACTTCCTGTTGTAAGATATGATTCCAGCTGTGCATCTCTGAAGCATGACATTAAACACCACACCTGTACATGAAATATGTCTGAAAGATGTGTTGTTGGGTCCTCTGGAGTTTTGACACAACGCTGAGTTTTTAAGATGCTCTTCTATGGGAGCAGCTTTAGTCAGAAACTGTCTTCAGTTGATATTATAAACAGACTCGAATATACCTGCATGAATAAACACAGAAATACTGACCTCTGGTGGTCAAACCTGGGAACAGCACCTTCAACACCATGCTGCAATTTCTGCACTATAAAACTGTGCTTAGCTACATGTTTTACAAAAGAAAAATATATTTTGTTTTACTGAAACGAGACAGTACTGTGCAAAACACATGAGTCATTCCTCATTCCTTTTAATTGCTTATTTCCAAGGAGCCAGACTTTGTTCTTTTTAAGAGATGAGAAACACAGCTTCAGATCTTTCATTAAAACWTTCCACTCACTTTTAGTTCAGTACCTGTTATTTATCTGAGGCATAGGTTTAGTTTATTAACTTAGCTGCTTTCGATCATCCCAAAAAAATTAAATGTTCAGAGATGGGGCTACAATCTACCCCCAACATTTGTTTTTCAAGCTTTAAAAAAAAATAAACACTTTGACATCCCACCCAGTGTGAGTAGCTTTAGTATTTTATTGTTCTATGTAGTTGTTTTAAACTGTCTTATTTTACTATCGTGTTCAGCACTTTAGTTAAAACTTGTTTKAAATGTGCTTTATGAATAAATTGACTTGGCAACTTGATGCTTCATATTTCCAAAAGTTTGAAGGATGATGCATCTCATGTTTTGTATTCCTAGTTTCTCAAACATTAGAATTTTAAATCTGCTGAGAAATAGTTGAGGCCTAACACGTCCAGATTTTAAAGCACTGCATGCTTTTCCAGTTGATTTGTTAATCTACCTTTACACGTAACAGTACATAGATTTGTTTACTACAGAAATGCTTGCATTTCGTTGTGCTCATGTTGGCACACACAGGGTGCCCTTGTTCGTTCTTGTGTGCAAAGGAAACACCTGGAGCAACATGCAGAAACAACTGTTAGAACATGGTATGTAGGGTTCAACCACAAAAACAAGTTTAGGTCTCTGGTCTAAAAACACGTGAAACAAGTTTACTTTTAGGAGTATCTCATCAAAACTAAACCCTACAGATTTTAACAAGACAAATTTGAGGTTTTGGATAAGTTTGAGCTTTATGTGGTGCAAATTCACAAGAAACCAAAATTAGTTTTGAGCAGAAGTTTATTCTTGGCATTCAAATGCTGTCGATTTGTCCATCTGCTTGAGAACAGCTGAGGTCACAGTGAGCAGAGTAAAAACCTTGATGCTAATCAGCACCATTTAAACATCTCACTGAATAATTTCAGTCAACCACCTTTAGACCAAACATCTGAAACCAAAGAACTGAATAAATAAAAGCATGATGTAAACAGGAAAATTGCTCTTTCGATGGGTGGGTGGCCCTTAAAAGGGCCTTTGGTTTTCACAGTTGTTAGCCTGAAGGCTAGTACTCCTGGGACTGAGAGGAGGCCTTCTTTCCCGCCTTGCCGGAGCTGGGTGCGGACTGGCCGGTCTTCTTGGGCAGCAGGACGGCCTGGATGTTGGGCAGGACGCCTCCCTGAGCGATGGTCACGCCGCCGAGCAGTTTGTTCAGCTCTTCGTCGTTGCGGACAGCCAGCTGAAGGTGGCGAGGGATGATGCGGGTCTTTTTGTTGTCCCTGGCGGCGTTGCCGGCCAACTCCAGGATCTCAGCGGTGAGGTACTCCAGGACAGCGGCCAGGTAAACTGGGGCTCCGGCTCCAACTCTCTCAGCGTAGTTACCTTTGCGGAGGAGACGGTGGACACGGCCCACGGGGAACTGCAGACCGGCGCGGGAGCTGCGTGTCTTAGCCTTGGCGCGGGCCTTGGCTCCGCTTTTACCTCTTCCAGACATCGTTGATTGATTTCTTCCACGTAGAAAACTCAAATGTAGGTTCAAAAGATATGAGGCGGAAGCGACCGGACGACCTGGATATAAACCCCACTGTTTGTCCCGCCCTAAACGTCGATTGGATGTTTGAGTGAAATGCTCTCACTTGATTGGCTTAAGGGGTCAAAGGAACTAGAAAGTGCGTGCTAATTGGTTTAGACGTTTTTGCTGTTAACTAATCACAATGAGGTTTGTGGAATAGTCGAACCCGATTGGTTGTTTCTTTTTCCAGCGTGTMATGAGTATTTTTCCCTCCAGCTTCAAACTTTTTGGCGCTAAAGCGAACTGCATTAGAATTAAAGTAAAAAAATGTAGCTGATTTAATGAGAATTTGATGATCTGGGAAAATCTAGACTTTTATTAAATTACTAAATCGTGTCCTAATCTAGATTTCTAAGCGATGCAATAATACATGTTGCAACCATGAGGCAGTTCTTCAAGTACATGTATTTATTGCATGTGTATGTAGTTACTTTAGACTTTTCTGCTCCAACACACCCGAATCAGTGATTGAATTATTTCTATCTTTATTTCTGCAGAGGCCTGTTATTCATTTATTCAAACCGTGTTAGGACAGAGCAACCTCTAAGACATGCAGGATGGTGGCCCTCGAGGACCAGGATTAGACAACCACAATTGATTCATACTATTTTTCTAACCACGACACAAGAAAAGCAAACAAAAGAAAACTCACAAACATAATAATCTCTTAGATAAATGTTTCAGAAGTCCTTTTATTTTAGAGAATAAAAAATTGGTTCAACACAAACAGCTCAACATTTTCCTTTCAGACAGAAGTAATCCATAATAAAAGTTCTCAAACATAAATTGCTTGAAAAATAAGTTATTTGCAATAATTTTTTCAAAATAAGACTGGGGTCTTACATCTCCTGAACTTTACAGTCCCATTTTATATGCGCAATATGTGTGTATTCTTATAGTGTGCTTTCAGAACAGGAAGTGGGGTTTGTTCCTTTGTTTTGAATTTGTTGTTTGTACGGCACGTTAAGACAGCAGCGGTTTCATATTTGGGGTCTCCTCTCTCTTTTTGTCCAATTAAAAAGAACATACAGATTAAATGAATTATTCTGAAGTCTTAAAGTTATTGCAATCACTCAAAGTGTGTTTTATGTTCTAAGGGGGGAAAAAGTTTAAAAAAAGGTATGTACAATTTTTAGATATTTGTTCTATTAGTCTTTAATAGATGCAGCAGGTTTTACATGATAGATTTCCAGCCCTGAGTGCTGTTCCCTCAGTATAAACAGCTTTTTTCTCAGGACGATGCCTGGTTTGAGCGTCTGCTGTGTAAAAATGAACTGAACTGATGTCATCAGCATTTCCTCTTAAGTGTTTTCTTGTGAAGCTTTAAAAACATCCAGCAGTGGTGGGCACAGCTAATCAAAAAGTTAGCTTCAGTAACTCATAATCCGCTAATTAAAAAATGTTAGCAGGCTTAAAGCTAATTTAGCAGAAGCTAATTGGTCCACTAACAGCTTTCAAAGTTAGTGAAAAAAGCTAATCTGCGGAGCAAAAGATTAATTCTGCTATTAGCTGATTAGCAGAACCAGTGTTGTTTCTGTCTGCATAAAATCAGCAGAACCTGATTTTGTTCATGTTTAACGCTTACATTTTCAGATTTAATTTTTAACTTATTGCCCAATATTTAAAAAACAAAAAAACATACGAGAGATGCTGGCTGATTGAATTGTCAAAAGCAAACTGCAGTTCTAATATCCCACAGAAAGTTAACTTCATTACACAAAACTACTATAAATATACCATCCCTTTTTTAAATTATTTTTTTCATATTAGATAAAACATGAAACGTCTTTAAAGCAATTACAACGGCACGGCACAGCTCAACCAAAATGGATTTATCTAAACTTACTTTAAATTATTTCTTCAAAATTAAGTTGCATAGAAAAAAAAAAAGAACACCAATGTCACTATTTTACAGTGCAATGCAGCTAGAACTTGTTTTTGGTGAGATAAAATAAATAGCACATTTTAGAAATCACATGAAATAATAAATTATCTTTTTACAATCATGAAAAATGTACGTCTATGTGCCGTTACAAAAAAAGAAAACCCATCAGTCCAAAGTGCATTTACAGCATTAAATTATTTCAGATTATTTCCACCACCCGTCTTCAAACAATAATTTGTGTTCAAACTGTGCGGTCATAGTGACTTCCTTCATCCCGGTGAGCAGCTCGTTTCTGTCTCCTCAAAGGAAATAAAGTTCATCATCTGATATTAGATCCAGCAATGTTGTCACACACGACCTCGGTACTGAAGGTGCATTATGTTTGTTCTAAAGAAGATCTCTCTCTGCAGCATCCTTTAGTAAACACGGCCCACAGCGAGTGTTCAGCTCGTCACCCATCAGACTCAAGTTGATCTCTTCCGACAACTTCCTCAGCTCCAGTGACCCTCTCGGTTGTCATCAGTTCTCCACAGAGTTCGCCCCGCCGTTCGAAGCCGTAGCTTTGCCTTTCGATTTGCCAGACGAGCGCAAGGAGAAGCGCTTGATGAGACGGCGCGAGAAGCTGCCGGACTTCTTACGGACGATGCCGGCGGCTGGGGGGGCGAAGTTGTTGCCCATGTTGGAGATGTCCTCGTGGGACTGACTGAGGCAGGACTCCTTTTCTCTGCGCTTTCTACGGAACAACAGCTTTGAGCCGCTCTGGAGGAAGCCCACTACAGAAAGCAGACAGGAATACAAAAAAAAAAACAACATTAGTGCAGATTTGAAGGAAACTACATCCATCGGTTGCCTGCTTGCTAATTAAATTATTGATTTTATGGCGCTGCTCCTTCGGCACTTTGAATTTTACCTACAAGCACAAAACGTGTCTGCAGAAAATCACTGAAGATTGGAACACAGGGGGATGCAAACTTATTCACCCTATTGGTAATTATCCTATTTTTCTTGTCCTACAATCTGATAATTCTACACAATACTCCAAAGTGAAAAAAATTATTTGTTTTCTTCTCTCTGCCACCTTTCATTTCATTTTTTTTGTATTTTTTATTGTTTTGTTTTTATGAAATGAATAAAGTTTGAAATTTAATTAATTTTTTTTATTTAATTTAAATTAATGAAGTTAAACAAAGAAAATAATAATAATTTGACAATATGAAGCAGTAAACTGAAGAGTTGTTGCTTATTTCCAGCAGTCACCGAGGTGAGGAAAGACGACAGCTCTAATCACTTAATTTACATATTTCTTTAAATTATTTAGAGCAATTAATAACCTGAAGTTTTTAATATGTGGTATAAAATGTATTACTTTTAAACTGTATAAATGCCAGGCTTATAAGCAACAGTACACATAGAAAACCAAGAGGGATGAATATTTTTGCAACCCACTGCACACGATGCGTTACAACCTCCAGAGGGCAGAATCAGCTCAGTCACTGTCACATCAAAGCAGCTCATGTTAAACTGGTCAGTGTTATGTAAGACTACGCAGTATGTTTTGGTTAGTGAAATGTACTGTTTAAAAGAAAATCAAAAATGCAAAAGAAAATATTTTAAATGAAAGAAATATATTAATAAATGTATACTTTGGAGACAGAAAATGTTTCTCCCAGTTTGGAAAAAAGAAAAAACTTAAATTGCTTCAATTTGTGTACCAACAACATTTTCTCTGAACAATCAGCTACTTCACGTTTATTTTTGACAGTTTCTGTGTGCATGAGTTACCTTTATGGTCCTTCAGGCTGCGGGTTTCCAAGGCACCAGCGGAGCCAGTGTCAGACTCCACGTCGTCCACAGACGGGCGCTCCGACACGTCAGAGGGCGTGGTTTCATCTGGGTCCTGGTGATGCCCCGCCCTGTAGTGGTTGCCGTGCACGGCGGCGTCCATGGCTGCTGCGTAGCCGCTTGATAATGCGCAGTGATCCTCACCAAGTGGAATCTGATAAGATTCAAACGGGTGAGTGTCTCTGAGAATACATTAAATGCATTTTTACCTGATTACATACAGGTTGTGTTCATATTACACAGTCTTTGTCAATATTCTTTATTTTAGCATCAAATAATCTAATAACTCCAGTAAATCTGTGTCAAGTGCACTGATTTGGCTCACATTGAGGACTTCTGCAGATTTTCGGGCAAAAATCAGGTCAGAAGAGTCTCATTCTACTATAAAGTGGTCCAATGGGGGGCTGTGATTGTGGACTAAATTTAGCTCACACTCATATTGCCTGGCTCTCTGAAATTACTTTTTATATTCCTGGTGGAGCTTAAAAGCTTGGTGCTCAGCCACAGCCAGACGAAAGTTTGAGATTTCTTCTAACACTCAGTTTCTGGTATTTAATCCGTAATTGGAGAAATTCYGTTCTCTGACCTTTGACACGCCAGAGATGATTAGTGTGCTTCTTTTTGTCGGTGTCTTCCGTGCAGTTTTGGATGCAGACTCTGTCAGCTGCCGAATCGCCGTCTCTGCAACAGGATCCAGGCCATTTGAGAGGCGACTGCTCCCTGAGAATAAAACAAAGACTGATCAGTGTCATACCATTAGTTTGCAAAGCACAGTTTTCAAAACCATTATGAAATTTTATTCTTATTTTATTTTATTCTTTTATTAGTTTTAAAAATAATCTTAAAGAGTATCTTAAATCTACTCAGTGGTGCAATCACTGAATTGCACTGGGTTTAGGCCTGTCACGATAACAAATTTTGCTGGGCGATTAATTGTCTCAAAATTTATTGCGATAAACGATAATATTGCCTGGTGACCGTTTTACAACTAATAATTATAAAAGCGTAATGTGTAAGTGTAATA